CCTTTTCTTTTTAGTTGGTTCTAAAAAAAAGTCATATTATTATAATTAAAAATCATTTAATTTAATTTTTAATAAAATAATTTATAGCTATACAACTATCTTATAGTTATTTTAGATATAATTTTTTAAAAATCTTTCTTCTTAAAATTTATCAAATTAAAAACGATTACACATAAAATACGACAAAAAAAGTAACTTTTTTATTTTATTTTAAAACTACTTTTAACTGTCCTATTATAATTGTTCTAAGTTTTCTTTTCTACTTTTAAAAAATACTTTTAGCTGTCCGTTTTATTTTAATTGTTATTTTAGCTTTTTTCATGGTTATTATTAAAAAATATAAGATATAATTTATTAAGTTGGTTTTGATTGTTAGATATTTCTTAATATCTGAGTAGTATTAAAAACTATTTTAATATTAAAAAATATGATTGAAAATAATTATAAAATTTTAAAGTGATACAGTAATTGTTGGGAAACAATTAATTAAAAAATATTAAATTTTGTTGTTGCGTAGGTAAGAAAAGACATTAAGCTACATTTGGCATGAGACACTTGTATTTTAGAAATTCTGTCGGTCATCCAAAAATTTCTAGTAATATAACCAATTTTTTAAAAATATATATATTTAATGTATCGTTAATACAAAAATAAGTCATATAAATTGAAATAGAAATATATATATATATATATATTATATTATAATTTTTTTTTTGTTTGAATATTACAATTATATAGCGTAGAATTTTTGTTAGGCAGCCAATCTTGAATCTGTTGAGTTTGAAATGTATTAAGACACAAACATTTATTTCCAATTGAATGAGAATTTATATGATAAAATATACTCCACTAGTTTGGAAAGGTGAAGATACATAAACATAACAAAGCTTCGAGCAAGGCGAATTCAGAATTAGAAGAGGACGAGTGCATCAGATAATTAATAATATATATTAATTAAAGTGTATCACTTAGTATTGATTTATATGATAATTTTATTAAATATAAAAATGTAAAATTAATGTTTTAACAATGTATAAATATGAATTAACTTTAAGTAATAAATTTTGTTATTATAATATTAACTTAATGTTATTATGAAAATTCATAAATTTAAAATCTTAAATTCGCGGCATATTTATTCACACATGATCATGTGCTCGACCATTTTTTCTGCATATTTTTCGTATCTTGCGATTTGCTTGAATATTAAATTATACAGCCGATCGTTGAATATTTTTGTTAGACACCCAAATCCCAATCCTGATTATGTTCCTTTTGAAATATAAATAATAGTGATACTATATTACCAATTGGATGAAAAATCGTATGATAAAATTTACTTTCTTCGTATCACTCCACTTCTTATATTTTTAGTTTATACATTACTTAAAAAATTGTATATTTTGACTATTATATATTTATTTATTATCATTAATCATTTTAAAATCTAATTTTTTTTCTTCAATAAATATCATCTCTATCATCTCTCCTCGATTAGTAAAAAGAAAGTTAATCTAAGTAATTTAAATATTAAAGTATATGTATGTGCTCAACATTTCTATGCTAATTAGTAAATGTGCATTACTTTCAAGTGTTTTTTTGCTAGTTGGATTTATTTTAGGTGTTTTTAAGTTAAAATAGCTTTTAATCACTTTTGAAGTGTTTGAATAAAATTAAAAAGTAATTATAACCACTTATTTTTAAGTCAAAATAATAAAAATGCGGAATGGCCTGAGACCCTTGTACTTGACTCAATTTATAAGTTGGATCCCTGTACTTACGACTTTGTCAACTAAACCCTTAAACTCATTCAAACACAATATTTTTAGATCCCTTTCTCATCAGATGTGCGTGCGTGTAGTACACTCATTTTACACATGAAATACCACGTCATTTTTTAATGGCACATCATTATTATTATTATTTTTCTAATGACACATCATAAATCAAATATTTATTAATATTTAAAAAATGCAATTTTTTTTCTCTCTCTCAGTGTACTCATTTCACCCCTTCCCACTTCATCTTCTTTGTTCCCACCTTCTACCATTTTCATCTTTTTTCAATCACAAAATGTGATAAATTAGAATTAGTTCTTGCACATGTTTTAGGGTTTTATTTATTTTGATTTGATAAAAAGAGATATTAAGAAAACTTCAAATTAGAAAAAGAATGTTTATATGTAAATTCAAGTAATGGATCTTAAAAGAATTAAGTTTATAAAAATGGTGAATGGTATATTTTCTTGCAAAAACTTTTTTTAATTTTTTATTTGATGATTTTACTGTGATAATGTGTATGCCAAAGAAGAAGAGGAGAAAAGGAGTAGGGGCAGGGGAGTGTGGGGGATGGGGGCTGAGGTTGAAGAAGAAGAAGAGAAAAAGGGTGGGGTGGGATGGGACTGAAGAAGAATGAGAAAAGGGGAAGGGGTGGAGTGTAGAAGAAGGATGTTTTCAGTATTTTTTTTAAAAAATTCTTCTTCTTCCTCTTATTATTATTATTATTATTATTATTATTATTATTATTGTTTTGTCTTATTATTTTGATAATTTTAAAATAAAAATATTGTATTCACTTGCTTTAAAACGCATAGGGTCATATATTTGTCCAATTAAGTCATTTCAGTGCCATATAAGCTCGGTCAATGGTCAGCGGGGTTTAAAAAATAGAGTTTCATTGAGTTAAGGGTTCATTTGGCAAAGTGATGAATAGAAGGGTTCAACTGACAAATGAAATCAAGTACAGGGGATTTCCAGGTCATTCTACCTAACAAAAATAAGTCAAAAATCATAAGTTAGAAATCCTACTTTATGACGTATAAACCAAAAGTAATAAGTCAATTCAAACATGCTCCAAATATTTTATTTTCAGTAAGAACGACAATTAAAGTGCTCTGAAAGAGCACTGCACTATTTTGGAAAAAGGGAAGATAACAACATAACTCTTATTAATTAGCATACACAAGTAGTACTTTGTTGCAACCACACAAAATCTTGATATTTCACAAGAGAGGTTGTTCATTTAGTAGTTGATGCAGAGTGAAATCTAGATTGGAAATGTGAAAATAATTCATCTCTTGAAGGTAAATATTCTTTGACTTGGCTGCAGTTAATGTAATTATCTCTCCAAGCATAATAGTTGGGAAATTTCTCATTTGTCACCAAAATAACACCAGAGGCTTCTTCAATTATTCCCATCCAAAATGCCAATACATTTGCAGCAATATCAACAAATCCAATTTTGTCTTCAACAAAAAACTTGTTATTATCCTTGAGCTCATTATCAAGAATTTTCAACAGCTCACTACACTGCTCTTTAGCTTTCTCTTGCTCCTCTTCATTGCCTAATAGAGCCTTTCCCATTGCTGGCAAACACTACAAAACACTCAAATATTTACACAATCATATCATTTACCAACAAAGTCGCGGTCAAAGAAAAGAAAACGATGCCAAAAAAAATTCACTTTAGCTTCTAGCTAGCTTAGCTTAGTGTATGTTGCTCGCAAGACTTTTTGATAGCTGGCTCAGCCGAACGGAATTACCGATCTAAATAGAAGGGTCGTAAGATCATTAAAAGTAAATTCATATTATAAGCATGAGTTTAACTTATATATATCATGTTGTCAGAATTATTTTACACAATTAGATTGTCCAAATGAATATCTACACATAACTTTTCATGAAATGTGAGATTTGTAATTTCGAAATAACGTAAGTTACTATCTAGACAGTTAGAGGACATTTTCTTTGATCATAATTTTTTAATGTACTTTCTAAATATTTTGAATTATTAATTATTGTGACTTATATTACTTTTTATTTATTCTATCTATGTAAAGTTTATTTCAAATCGAACATCAGTTAGTTTGATCTCCTCCTATTTTGAATCAAGCCGAACAAATTCAAATAGAGGAAGTATAATACATAACCTGACAAAAACAACAACTAATTTGCTAACAAATTGATCAATACTACTAATATGAAAATTTCTTACACAAAATATGTATGTATGTAACTTAAATTCAGGTAAATTTACCTTATCATCAAGGAACTTAGCCCAAAAACGAGCTATAGCACGATCATAAGGGTCTTTAGGCAAGATGGAAGGGCCTTCAAATGTCTCATCAATGTATTCAACAATTACCATTGACTCACTAATTGGCTTTCCATTGTGAATTAGCACTGGAATTTTCTTATGAATTGGATTAGATTCAAGAAGAAGAGGACTCTTATTTTGTGGATCTTCTACTATAAGTTCATAATCCACTCCCTTAATTTTGAGAGCCCATTCAACTCTATGAGTAAATGGACTAAGTGAAACACCAAGCAACTTTATTTTTTCCATACCACAACTTTGGTTATTTTTGCCCTATTTTTAGAGAGTGAGAGAAAAAAAAAATTGTGTTTGCAATCAAGTAATTCCAATGAACTTCTTACATAATTAAGTTGTCTAATTTAATGCTTCTACAATGACCAACGACTTTTCATCAATTATATTTTATTATTATAAGTCTAAATAAATGTGAGGTAGTGGTTAAAGGTTGTGTCCATTTAAGATTGGTTGATCCATTTTGAGAATAAAATATTTATTTTTATTAGATTAAGATATTCAAATCTAAATAGATATGATATTATGAGAAAGTTATTTTTTAAATTTGATTATTGGTTAATTAAGGTATTCAAATATACATATCAATAAGAATCTGGTCCTATATGACTTCAGAAGATGATCTATAATTAAGTCTACTATGATGCCGATACTATGACGAGGTCCTGCGAAAAAATACCTCAATCCCAAAATGATATAAGACTTGGCACCTTTTCAATATGAAAACGAAAAAAAAAAAAAGATTCCTATAATAAATGATTTTATAGATGGAAGAAATTACACTCTCATACAATATTGACTGCCAACCATACTAATAAGTGTATATTATTCAAATATACATACTTTTGTTTAACATAAGGTAGTTTTATTGCCACAACCAATCTTGATAATTTTCATTTGGGAGATTGGAAACGAGATTGGAAATGGGCAAGTAACACATCTCTTGAAGGTAAATATTCCTTGACTTGATTGCGATTAATATACTCATCTCTCCAACCACAAAAATTTGGAAATTTTTCACTTGTTACTAAAACAACTCCAGAGGCTTCTTCAAGAATTCCAAACCAAAATGCCATAAAATTAGCAGCAACATCAGCAAATCCAAAATTGTCACCCACAAAAAACTTCTTATCCTTTAACTCATTATCAAGAATCTTCAATAGTCCACCAAATTCTTCTTTGGATTTTTCTGCCTCCTCACCTTTGCCAAACAATACTTTCCCCAATAGTGGTATACACTGCAAAATCACTTCATCAATGTGGCACTGTTCGAATTTCGAAAGTTAAATAGCTCAAGTTTAACCGTAAATTTGGCCATGTAATAGTCAAATTTTAGAAATGAAATGTATATATTTGAAAACTATGTAAAACGTAGTATAAATCACAATAATTGATACTTGAAAAATTTAAAAGATAAATGAAAAAATCCTGATCAAAACTAGACTTGTTTGAATTTTGAAATTCGAAAATGCCACGTAAATTAAAACAAAAGGAGTAATAAATTTTAATGCTAAACACTAGTAATTTGCAAATCCATAAAAATAATTAATAATCAAACGAATATTATATATAAGGTAAATCAAACGAATTTACCGTATCATCAATAAACTTAGCCCAAAAACGAGCTATTGCACGATCATAAGGGTCTTTAGGTAAGATGGAAGGACCTTCAAATGTTTCGTCGATATATTCAAGAATTACCATAGACTCACAAATGGGCTTTCCATTGTGAATTAGCACTGGGATTTTTTTGTGAATTGGATTGGATTCAAGAAGCAAAGGGCTCTTGTTTTGTAGATTTTCTTCTATAAATTCATATTCAACTCCCTTAAATTTCAGAGCCCACTCAACTCTTCGACTAAAAGGGCTCAGTGTAACGCCAATCAATTTCACTTGTGTCATAAACGAAACTATTTAATTATGTGTATGATGATGAAATTATGTATGTGAGCAGAGTTTTCATTCTTGAATTCATTGTATCTTTTATAGATGGAAACCAATTTATTTATTTTTGATTACTTTTCTATGTTGATGAAATTTATGTATGTGTGGTGAGATTTCATTGTCTTCTTTTCATAAATGGATTCAAACAAATGGATTGTCCAACTTTTTGACTCTTCCATTTTGACGGGCGACTTATCTTCAATTTTTTTTTTCGGGTTGTTAGGTCAGATGTATTAGAAAAACTAATGTATACGTAGTAGTTTCATGTATTACTAATATTTTATTTTGTATTGTTTTTCAATTTATGTATAATTAATGCTTTTATTAGTTATATACTTTATTTAATATTAGAGAGAAGTATTGAAAACACATTTAAACTCAACACAAATTTTTACTTTCATCCATGGACTATTAAAAACACCCATTTAATTAACTAATCGAACTTAAATACATCTCTAATCTTGCAATATGAGTGAAATACGCCTCTAAATTCTCTCCAAGTTTATAAGTGTTTCCAACACTCCATTCGACTTTTTATTAAGAGCTACATACTCCTATAAGAGTTTGAAACCACTTACTATGTCATGTGGCAGATTAGGGGTATATCTAAGTTTAGTTAGTGTTTTTTAGGTGTTAATAGTTTAGGGACGAAATTAATAATTAGCGTCAAGTTTAGGAGTGTTTTTTCAATATTTCTTTCATGGTATTAAAGTATATATAACTAATAGCATAATCAAAGACATAGTTGCCCTTCAAACCTTTCCCAACAATATTATTTTTAATATATTAAATCAAATATATATTGCACAAAAAATAATTTTAATATAATTAATGCAAAGATAACGGATTAATACTCCATTAATTAGGAGTCCACTCAACCATCTTTTGTTTCCAAACTCAACTACTTGGGAAAGGTAAATACAATAAGATGACTCACAAGCACTCACTTACAAACTTTCAAAAAACAACAACATACTACCTACTAACATAAGGTAGTTTTATTGCCACACAAAATAAAAACTCAAAAAATTCACTAAGTAGATAGTTTTTATTTTTGGGCAGCTGCTGCAGCCTCAAAACGAGCTTTGAAATGTGCAAGTATTTCATCTCTTGGAGGTAAATATTCTTTGATTGTGCTACAATTAATGTACTCATTTCTCCAATTACAAAAAATTGGAAACTTTTCATTTGTCACAAAAATATTACCAGATGCTTCTTCAACAATTCCCATCCAATATGCCATCAAATTTCCAGCCATATCAGCAAATCCAAATTTGTCACCAACAAAGTACTTCTTGTCTTTTAGCTCATTTTCAAGAATCTTTATTAAATCAACCAATTCCTCTTTAGCTTTGTCTGACTCCTCTCCACTGCCAAATATAGCTTTCCCCATTACTGGCATACACTGCACAATTAGTTACAAATTACTGTAAGTCACAATAATTAATAATTTAAAATATTTAAAAGACATAAAAAGACCGCGTAGTCAATTTGGGATGGAAAGAGTATTTAAAATGTACTCCCATTGTCTCAATTTGTATGACATAGTTTAAATTTCGAGAGTCAAACTTTTTTATTTTGATTGTGTATTCACGTTTGTAAAAAATAACATGCATATTTAGTAAATCACAAAAATTAGCAATTTAAATATATTGAAGAGGTATAGAATAATCGTGATAAAAATGAAACCAGATGTATGTCATATAAATTGTATGTCATATAAATTGAGACATATAGAGTATTTAAGTTTTGGAGTATATATAACTTAGATCAAAAATAATTTACCTTATCATCAAAGAACTTAGCCCAAAAACGAGCTATAGCTCGATCATAAGGGTCTTTAGGCAAGATGGAAGGTCCTTCAAATGTCTCATCAATGTATTCAACAATCACCATAGACTCACAAATTGGCTTGCCATTGTGAATTAGCACTGGGATTTTCTTGTGAATTGGATTATATTCAAGAAGAAGAGGACTTTTGTTTTGTAAATCTTCTTCAACAAATTCATAGTCAACACCTTTAGTCTTGAGAGCCCATTCAACTCTACGACTAAAAGGGCTCAATGAAACACCTAGCAACTTCACTCCTACCATCTCACAATTTAATTAATTTTCTTTGGCTTTTACTAATATTTCCTCTATGTATGAGTTGGATTTTTTGTTCTTGATTTCTTGTCTTCTTTTATAGATGGGGAAATTGTTTAAAATATAATATATGTTTATTTTATAATTAAATTAAATACAACCAAGAAAGTACTATAATGTTTCTTGATCAACAATTCAGTTGTCTAATATTTTTATATTTTCCATGCTGACCGACGACTTAGTCTCAATTAAATATAATTCAATAAATATGAGTTGTTGAAGGTTATATTCATGATATAATAATATAGAAGGTCGTGATAGAATGATATGTATATCTTTAATTAGAAGTTTTCGATTTGAGTATGCTGATACGAAGTCGCTGGGACCAGATTATCCCCAATGTGAGACTTTTTATGCTTAGAAATGTATCAACTATGTTATGCTTGATAAAAAATCCCATAGTTTTGACTATATCTTAATTGGTGGTGAGAAAAATAAGATGACTTATGTGCTTATGTCATCCCTTCTTTTTTTCTTTTACTTTCATTTTATAAAAAAATATTGTCAATACAACAATCTAATTAAAGGAAGATATATCATATTCAAGTGCATGCATGACATATCTTTATCCAACTCCAAAAAAGAAAAAAATGTAATAGATATAAATAATAAGATATTGTCTTTAAACCACCCTTGACAAAAGCCCTCTTAACTTCAATTTGCTCTGTACTTTTTAGAACGATATTTTCTTAATATTCAAATTCTTGAGCTTGATTAATGTGTTTCTGCTACCTAAAATATAAAAGTACTTCCACACAATTCAATGGGAAAATTCAAAGATTCTTTATTATAACTATCACTGACCAAGCAACAAAATAGTAACATAATTACACGAGATAATGTGGAATTTTTTTTATGCGAATTCTAATTTAATTGAATTTCAATGTAAATATCGAATATCAAATAGAAAATAAAAAAAAAAACTACACAAGACGAAGTTAGGCTAAACTAGCTTTCTCTATTGAGCATGAATAATATAAGTGGGAGAGAATTCATCTCTTTTGAAAAATTTATCTTTGAAGCTATATATTTTATTTGTATTTAGACTAAAAAATTGTGATTTCATTTGTTGTTATTTTATCAATTATATAATTTATTTTAGTGAATTTTACGAATGTGATATTTATAAATATATGAGACATAATTTATATGAATATAGTAAGTTTGAAACTTGAGGAATTCCATTAACCACTAGCCATAAAATTAAAAATCATCCTACGATATTTGAGAGATTTCATTTCGATCTAAACTAGCTAGAAATTAAAAAAGATATGATCTATGTGCTTATGTCAACAATATTATTTTTAATATATTAAATCAAATATATATTGCACAAAAAATAATTTTAATATAATTAATGCAAAGATAACGGATTAATACTTCATTAATTAGGAGTCCACTCAACCATCTTTTGTTTCCAAACTCAACTACTTGGGAAAGGTAAATACAATAAGATGACTCACATGCACTCACTTACAAACTTTCAAAAAACAACAACATACTACCTACTAACATAAGGTAGTTTTATTGCCACACAAAATAAAAACTCAAAAAATTCACTAAGTAGAAAGATTTTATTTTTGGGCAGCTGCTGCAGCTTCAAAATGAGCTTTGAAATGTGCAAGTGTTGCATCTCCTGGAGGTAAATATTCTTTGATTGTGCTACAATTAATGTACTCATTTCTCCAATTACAAAAAATTGGAAACTTTTCATTTGTCACAAAAATATTACCAGATGCTTCTTCAATAATTCCCATCCAATATGCCATCAAATTTCCAGCAATATCAGCAAATCCAAATTTGTCACCAACAAAAAAATTCTTGTCTTTTAGCTCATTTTCAAGAATCTTTATTAAATCACCCAATTCCTCTTTAGCTTTGTCTGACTCCTCTCCACTGCCAAATATAGCTTTCCCCACTACTGGCATGCACTGCAAAATTAGGTAAAAATTATTGTAAGTCATAATAATTAATAATTTAAAATACATAAAAAAATTCGCGCAGTCAATTTGGGATGGAGGGAGTATTTAAAATGTACTCCCACTATTTCAATTTGTATGACATAGTTTAAATTTCGAAAGTTACATTCAAGACATGTTATCTTTTAAGGTTTGCGAAAAATAACATACATATTTAGTGAATCACAAGAATTAGCAATTTAAAATATTGAAGATGCATATGAATAATCGCGGTAAAAATGAAATCAAATTTATGTCATATAAATTGAAACAGATGGAGTACTATTTAGGTTTTAGAGTATATATAAACTCAAAACGAAAAGAATTTACCTTATCATCAAAGAACTTAGCCCAAAAACGAGCTATAGCTCGATCATAAGGGTCTTTAGGCAAGATGGAAGGTCCTTCAAATGTTTCATCAATGTATTCAACAATCACCATAGACTCACAAATTGGCTTGCCATTGTGAATTAGCACTGGGATTTTCTTGTGAATTGGATTATATTCAAGAAGAAGAGGACTTTTGTTTTGTAAATCTTCTTCAACAAATTCATATTCAACACCTTTAATCTTGAGAGCCCATTCAACTCTACGACTAAAAGGGCTCAATGAAACACCTAGCAACTTCACTCCTACCATCTCACAACTTAATTTTCTTTGGCTTTAACTAATATTTCCTATGTATGAGTAAGTTGGATTTTTTGTTCTTGGTTTCTTGTCTTCTTTTATAGATGGGGAAATTGTTTAAAATATAATATATGTTTATTTTATAATTAAATTAAATACAACCAAGAAAGTAATACAATGTTTCTTGATCAACAATTTAGTTGTCTAATATTTTTATGTTTTCCATGCTGACCGACGAATTAGTCTCAATTACATATAATTCAATAAATATGAGTTGTTGAAGGTTATATTCATTATATAATAATATAGAAGATCGTGGTAGAATGATATATATATATATATATATATATATCTTTAATTAGGAGTTTTCGGTTTGAGTATGCTGGATACGAAGTTATTCATGTTGAGGGATCAGATTATCCCTCGATGTGAGACTTTTTATGCTTAGAAATGTATCAACCATGCATGTTATGCTTCATAAAAAAACCCATAGTTTTGACTATATCTTAATAGGTGGTGAGAACAATAAGATGACTTATGTGCTTATGCCACCCACTTTCTTTTTATTTTTAAAACTAAATCATTAAATTCATTTAAAAAAAAGTTATTGTCAATACAACAAACTAATTAAAGAAAGATATATATCGTATTCAAATGTCACGACATATCTTTATCAACTCCTAAAAAGAAAAAATGCAATAAATATAAATAATAAGATATTGTCTTTAAACCACCCTCGACAAAAACTCTCTTTAACTTCAATTTGCTCTGTACATTCTAGAACGATATTTTCTTAATATTCAAATTCTTGAGCTTGGTTAATGTGTTTCTACTACCTAAAATATAAAAGTACTTTCACGCAATTCAATGGGAAAATCCAAAGATTCTTTATTGTAACTATTACTGACCAAGCTACAAAATAGTAACACATTTTCATGAGATAATGTGGAATTTTTTTTATGCGAAATCTGATTTAATTAAATTTGAATGTAAATATCGAATATCAAATAGAAAATAAAAATAAAAATAAATAAACAAGACGAAGTTAGGCTAAACTAGCTTTCTCTATTGAGCATGAATAATATAAGTGGGAGAGAATTCATCTCTGTTGAAAAATTTATCTTTGAAGCTATATATTTTATTTGTATTTAGACTAAAAAATTGTGATTTCATTGCTTGCTATTTAATCAATTATATAATTTATTTTAGTGAATTTTACGAATTTGATATTTATAAATATATGAGACATAATTTATATGAATATAGTAAGTTTGAAACTTGGGGAATTCCATTAACCACTAGCCATAAAATTAAAAATCATCCTACGATATTTGAGGGATTTCATTTCGATCTAAACTAGTTAGAAATTAAAAAAAATATGATCTATGTGCTTATGTCAACCACCTTTTAGTCAAACTCGTATATTATTTTAGTCCCCACAAATATAAAAGACCAATATAATCAAATTGTGAGTCACTAAGTCATTTCTTGCTCTTTCCTTCAATGAAAAAAAATAATAAAGTACTTAATTAGTTGGTGTACAATCACTAACCAACCAACCAAACAGTAATAAAAGGGTAAAATACCTAATTAAGCATATATTCATCTCATATCAATTAATTCAATTTATACTTTCAAATAATTATCTATAATCTCTTTATTTATTAATTATGTATCAAATTTAAAATAGAGTCTTAACCACTTAATCGTCTTGTGAATTTACTTTTCACTCCAAATAGGCTCACTATCTCTCCTCTCACATTTGATATATAATCAACTCCAAAACGCCATGGCCAACAGATGCATGGCTGGGAGAAAGAACATCATTATCGATAGATACATCCATATTTATATTTGGTGGAATTTTCATCGAAGACGACGGTCTCTAGCGGAGGAAGAGAGAGACAAAGGGGAGAGGAGGAGAAATTTGTAATTTTTGAAAAGAAATTTCAGGGGAAAATGGATGAATTACTCCAAAATTGATATATTTCAGTTACAATATTCCATATTTATATACACGTAATTATGTATCTCGAAGAGCTAGATACATGTATCCAACCCACGAAATATGGTAAGAAACATAGTATTGAAAACTAACGTGAAGGGAAGTAAATAGTTCCCAAAGTAGTGAAATTTGTGTTGTTTACTCTAATAAAAGACACTTCGAATTGTTTGATTGGACATATTAGAAAAAATAATGCATGAATTAGCTTTATATATTAATAATATTCTATTTGGTAGACTTTTTCAATCTCTCTCTTTCTCTCTCGCGCGCTTTCTCTCTACATAGACATACACACACTTTATTTGGTATCATGTTACGTATAATTAATACATGGAGAATTATGGTATTAACAAAGGTAATGCATGCTAATTAAAGACAAAATTGTTCATCAAAACCTTTTCCACATCTTTTCCACTGTATTTGTTGAGGCTATTTTTGTAAACAAATAATATTTTAAAAATTATGCAATGTATATTATTTTTAATACACCAAATCAAACATTGGATAAAACATCATCCTAATATAACTAACGCAAACATCACTAATACCATCATTACTAATATCAAATTATTAACACATCATATTCAACATTATTTTTTTACACCATACCAATTGAACTCACTTTCAATCCATCTCACATTTTTATTGCCACACAATTCTTGAAATTCACTATAAAGGTATTCATTTTGCTTTAGCTGGAAATAGAGCTTGGAAATGGGCAAGCAATTCATCTCTGGAAGGTAAATATTCCTTATTTTGATTGCAATATTCATTTCTCCAAGCATATAAATTTGGATAATTTTCACTTGTAACCAATGGCACTCCAGAGGCTTCTTCAAAAACTCCAAGCCAAATTGCCAATACATTAGCAGCAATATCAGCAAATCCAAATTTGTCACCAACAAAGTACTTCTTGTCCTTGAGTTCATTTTCAAGAATTTTCAACATCTCACAAGCTTCCTTTTTTGCTTTCTCTTGTTCCTCTCCTTTCAGAAAGTTACTTTTCCCCACTGCTGCCACCTGCTCAACACTCGAAAAATTTATATTTCGCAATTCTATTAAGATCAACTACATGAATCTTCACTGATCGTGTTGTTATTGGCATATACATCTACAATAAGATAAAAAGGATTCTTGTATAACATGACACATAAATAAAGTAAACATACCTGATCTTCAAGGAACTTAACCCAAAAACGAGCTAAAGCTCGGTCATAAGGGTCTTTAGGCAAGATGGAAGGGCCTTCAAATGTCTCATCAATGTATTCAACAATTACCATAGACTCACAAATGGACTTGCCATTGTGAATTAACACTGGGATTTTTTTGTGAATTGGATTGGATTCAAGAAGCAAAGGGCTCTTATTTTGTAAATCTTGTTCTATAAATTCATATTGGACACCCTTAATCTTGAGAGCCCATTCAACTCTATGACTAAAAGGGCTATACCATAGACCAAGAAACTTAACATCTGCCATCTCTCAACTTTGGTTAACTATTTGTTATATTTACTAATTTTTATGTGTTGTTCATGACCCTTGATGTCTAGTCTTCTTTTATAGAGGATGCAATCAAGAAAATGTAATAAAGGTTTCTTCTTTGACAATTTAGTTTTTGTAATTTAAGAATGTTTCTACATTGACCAGATATATATAGTTGAAAATTAACTTTATTGAATGCATCCAATAATGTTGTCATTGTTTGTATTTTATATTGTTAACATTATCACAGAACTTTTGAGAGTTATTTAAAAGAGTGTTAAGATAAAATTTAGAGTTAAAAAGAGTAAAAAATACATTAAATGATTTTAGGTTATTGAGTTTCATATTTGAACAAGGGGTAGGCGTTCTGTTTTGAAAAAATAGGCACGGGACGTTGAATCAAATTAGTTTGGTTCGGTTTGAATTTTTCAACTTCGATTTGATTTGGTTCGGTGTTTTTAAAATGATTTTTCGATGCAAATGAAAAAACAAAATAAGGATCAAATCAAAGTATAAAATACTTAAAAACTTAAAATCATGTTAAGTGATACGTAAAAGCTTTGATTTGTTTATGAATGGTTTAATTGCTAGTTAAACTTTTGTTCTTGGTTAAGGAAATGCAAATATATATATATATATATATAATTTTTTTAATAAAAGATTGGTTCTTCGGTTCGAACTGAACTTTTGAAAAAATAACATCGAAATCGAACCGAAAAACCAACCGAAGAACCAAAACTGAAATACCAAAGAATCGAAATCGAAAAACCGAATTAGTTTGGTTTAATCCAGTTTTGATATTTCTGTATTTATATCCACCCCTAATTTGAACTATTAAGAATGTGAGTTTTCTATCTATACCAGGAGTATCACACAATAATTAGCAAACCATCTCGATTAATTTCTGATGATAAATGTACATTCTCTTTCATTTAAAAATTCTGTCTGGTATTCATTCATTAATTTGAAAAAGTAAAAAAATAAGGAAATAATTTGAATAATAAAGAGTGATGATGCTTGGGGCCATGCTTAACATGAGAAGCCTCCCAATTAGATGACTTATGTGCTCATGTCACCCACATTTTCGTCAAATGTTGCTGTTTGCTTTTTCTATTAATTTTTTCTTTTTCCTAAATATATTGTATAATTCTTGACTAACCAGCCAACAATTCTTCTTTTCTTTAGTCAATCCGATGAAAAAAAAAAATCACCTAAATAATTATTGTATAATGCTTGACTAACCAGCAATAATAACACCACTTCTATTTAAAAAGGAAGAAAAGAAAGCGACATAACAATAATATATAATATATCTAGTACAGTCATATAACAAAATACGAGAATGTAATAGTTTCTACTTCCTTACAAATATAAAATGTTTCAGTAAAATTATTATTCTATTTATTAATTATTCTACGTAGAAGTGTTCATTTCGGAGCAGCTTGAAAGCGAGCTTGGAAATGAGCAAGTAATTCATTTCTTGGAGGTAAATATTCTTTATTTTCGCTACAATTAATGTATTCATCTCTCCAAGCACATAAATTTGGGAATTTTTCACTTGTAACCAAAACAACTCCAGAGGCTTCTTCAAAAACTCCAACCCAAATTCCCATAAAATTAGCAGCAATATCAGCAAATCCAAATTTGTCACCAACAAACAACTTCTTGTCCTTTAACTCATTATCAAGAATTTTCAATATCTCATAAGCTTCCTCTTTAGCCTTCTCTTGTTCCTCTCCTTTCAAAAAGAAACTTTTCCCTACTGGTGCCATCTGGACAATAATCGAAATTTAATTTGTATAAAATAATAACAATAACTACGCATCAGTCTTAAATATATTGTAATTAAATATATGAATTTTTGCTGATTGAGTGATTGCAATACTTTAATTAAGCTTGTCTCAGTCTAATATTACTATAAAAGTTATAAAATTTGTCTATATTTTCTACTCTTATATAAACCTATGTCAGGATAAAAAAAAAATTAAGAAACATATTATCTGTTTCAGTTTATTTGACTTGAAAAAAATTATATATTCAGAAACTACATAAAAAAAAATGAGAGAATTTTTTTTTTTGACCGTCTTAATAGTAATGGCCACTAATAAATTGAAACGAAGGAAGTACTAAAACGAATATACCTTATCATCAAGGAACTTAGCCCAAAAACGAGCAATAGCTCGATCATAAGGGTCTTTAGGCAAGATGGAAGGGCCTTCAAAAGTCTCATCAATGTATTCAACAATTACCATGGACTCACAAATAGGCTTGCCATTGTGAATTAGTACTGGAACTTTTTTGTGAATTGGATTGGATTCAAGAAGTAGAGAGCTCTTATTATGTAGATCATCTTCTATATATTCATATTCCACACCCTTAATCTTGAGAGCCCATTCAACTCTATGACTAAAAGGGCTATACCATAAACCAAGTAACTTAACATCTACCATTTCTCAACTTTGGTTAACTTTTTTTTTTATCTTTACTATAATATTTGAGGGAATTGTTATGTGGTTGTTCTCCCTTGAGGTGTATCCTTGTTTTATAGAGGTAAAAGCAGGGAAGTTTTTTATTTTTTATTTCTCACTCAGTGTCCGGAGTCTACATTGGAGCTCCGATTAAATTTGGATTGCACTCTGCAGAATCAGTGGTAGAGCGAGGATTTCTAATAAGGGGATTCAAAATCTGAGAAGTAAACACACGAACTAGTGGAAGGGGGTTCGACATCTATTTTACATACCTAAAAATTAATTTTAACCATATATAAATAGGAGTAATATTTTTCACCAAAGGGGTTCATATATTCTGCCTCCGCCCCTGTGCAAGACCCATTTTAAATTTTTTTTCATACCCAGAGCTCAAACTCAAAACCTTTGATTAAGGGTAAAACAATTCCACCACTGCACCACAACCCACGTTATCAAACCCCTGTTGATAACGGGGAAGTTTCTAGCAATACACCAAATGCAATAATGTTGATTTTTCTTTGATAGCTTAGTTTTGTAATTTAGTAATGTTTCCATGTTGACTAAAGACTAAGAAATTTTTTATTGGTATTTCCTCTATGTGAAGATAAGTGCTATATCTTTGCAAAAAAAAATATTATCTCAAAATAAACGTCATCTTAGGATTCAAGACATAAAATTATTACTACTATGTTTTTTTTAACTACTCATCTTGTTAGTACTGTGTTTTCAAAAGTTATTTAATAAACTATGGATATTATATTTATTAATTTCTTAATGAATACTTCCTCTGTTTCTAGTTACTTGTCCAGTTTTGAATTGACACATCTATTAAGAAAATAATTAATGACATAATGAGTTTATCATTTTACCCCTATTAATTATGAAGTGGATGAAAAGTTCTACATTTTTCAAAGTAATTAGTCATTTAATTGAGGATAGAACAGGTAAAAAAAATTTGTCATTTCTTAATTTGTCAAAATGGACAAGTAATTAGGGACAACTATAAAAAAAAAAGTGAATAAGTAATTAGGGACATAGGGAGTATGATATTTACTAGGGTGAGGAAATATTAAATACCTAGGAGGTTGTAATTTAAAGTTCTATACATTAAATTGGTGCCATAGTCAGTTTGGATTAAATTTTGGGGTTCAATTATTGATTTTTTGGATATCTTTTTCCGTGGAGGAATATTTCTAATATAGGAAAAAAGGTCCAATGTGTCTTTTTAACTCTGGAAATAGTCTTTTATTAAAATGGATGATTTTAATCATCACTTAGCTCAAGTATATATTTTTGCTTAGTTGCCTTTCTATATCGGAGTTTGATTTTTTTGAATAAATATAAAAATGGTTTTCATTTTAAATTTACGATTATTAAAATTTTATATAATTTAAATCTTGAATTTGACTCTAAGTTTTGCCTCAACATTTTCTTCATGTTGGTTTGTTCCACATCAATATTATCTCCTTTTTCTCTAGGTGACATATGTGCTTACGTCACCCCAGAGGCGGAGCTAGGTGGGGGTTCATGGGTTCGAACGAAGCCAATAACTTTTTTGTAGATCCTATATTTGTACTAAAAAATTAATTAAATATTTATGTATATTAATTTGTGAACCCCTAACAAAATTGATTGACGGAATTTAGAACCCACAAACTCTTAATCCTCACTTCGCCTCTGGTCACCCCTTCTTCTTCTTCAAAATGTCTTACTCCATTTCAACTTATTTTTTATTTTTAAAAATATTCGTCGAGAAAAATTGTTATCTTTTTTTAAAAAAAAAGAATTTTTAGTTCTAATTTTTTATCCGATGCCCCTGTGGGGACTTTTTAATTCTAATTTTACATAATATATTTAAGTCTATAAAATTAAAATATTATGATATATTTTTAATTTAAATTTAATTTGCAATTTTTTTTAAAAATATTTTACTTTTAAAATTCTTATATCAAATGATAATAAGACAAAGTAATATATGATTATATTCAACTCCCTAAAAATATAGAAGGCCAATATGAAAATGCTTTCACATTAGTCATTATGAGTCACAACTCACAAGTCAGTTCTTGTTCTTTCCAAATCGATGAGAATATTAATTATTTGTTGTACAATTACTGTACCAACCACCCAAATTGAATTAAAAATCTTAATACTAGCTAATTGATTAACTATTTAAATTTTTTATTATTAGTAACGGTTGGATCGTACTTCCTAATTCCTATACCCAATTTTTTTTAAAAAAAGAATCAGCAACAAAAGATAATTCATGACCTTACTAAATTTTCTTACAACACTTTTTATTCATACGTGAACCCTATATTAACCGAAATAAAGACAAATCTAATTATAACATGCATTTTATTTTTCTAATCCCTAGTTCAACCGAAAATCAATTTCAATTGAATTAAACAAAAACTCATCCTAAATCCATCTCTAATTTTTTCTCTCACTTTGAAGCAACAACACGTTGAATGTAAACTTGATAATGGGCAAGCAATTCATCTCTGGGAGGTAAATATTCCTTGTTTTGTGTGCAATATTCATCTCTCCAACCACAAAAATTTGGGTATTTTTCTTTTGTCACCAAAACAACTCCAGATACTTCTTCAAGAACTCCTAGCCAAAGTGCTGCAGCATTTGCAACAATATCAACAAATCCAAATTTGTCACCAACAAAGTACTTTTTATTATCCTTTAGCTCATTATCAAGAACTTTCAACATCTCATTAACTTCCTCTTTACCTTTCTCTTGCTCCTCTCCTTTGAAAAATATACTTTTCCTTATTGCTAGCCCCTACAAAATACATAAACAAACATTAAAATTCTGCCTCAATCGGTAAGTAAGCAATTTAACTTTGAAAAGTGCATATCTAGACAATTCAATTTGATCTCAACTGACAATTAAACACTACAACTCATCCACATATCAATAGATTTTGGAGTGGTCAAAATGATCATATTATAAGTTGAAATGTTCAATATAATTGACACAAAGACGAGATAAGATATCTAGATGTGTGTACTCTGTTTAGTTACATGTAATTATAAAAAAGCATATATAAGACCTAATAAAGTTAATATATCATGAAGGCAATATACCTTATCTTCGAAGAATTTAGCCCAAAAACGAGCTAAAGCTCGATCATAAGGGTCTTTAGGTAAGATGGAAGGGCCTTCAAATGTCTCATCGATGTATTCGAGAATCACACTTGACTCACAAAGGGGCTTGCCATTGTGAATGAGCACAGGAACTGCCTTGTGAATTGGATTAGATTGAAGCAGTAAAGAGCTCTTATTTTGTAGATCATCTTCTATATATTCATATTCTACTCCCTTAATCTTTAGAGCCCATTCAACTCTTTTACTAAAAGGGCTATACCATAAACCAATCAACTTAACATTAGCCATCTCTCAACTTTGGCTAACTATGTTTTTGCTTTACTAATTGACCCCTTGAGGTCTAGTGCCTTCTTTTATATAGGGAAGAAACAAGGAAGTTTCATAGCAAAATCCAGCAAATGCATTGATGTTTCCAAAGTATTTTGTTTTGACACTCAAATATATGTTTTGTTTAACAAATGGCACATATATAAGTCACTATTTTACACAATACTTGTCATCTACTCTCACCGTTGTTATTTGTATGTCACCATTTTAGTTTTCACATCTCTTAAGAAATTAAGTAAGTTTATTATGTATCCTTATTTAGTATTCTTTTATAGTTAATTTTTTAATAAATGAACATAAATTAATTTATTTTGATTGATTAAATTGACCAATAAACATGAAGTAATCATTTAATTTAGATTAGTTTTATTAATTCAGTTTGTTGATGAAAATGATAAATATGCATTATTTATTACTCCCCTCGTTCCTATTTATATGCCGTTACGTTGTTATTAAAAATAGACGAGCTTTCTTAATATTTATCATTTTATAAAATTAATGCATATATATATTAATATATATTATACATGTGACATGTTTTTTAGTATAAATTTTAAATATTATTTAATATATTTGACATATTTTTAATTAATAAATATTTAAAAAAATTAAATTGTTAGATTTTGGATCAAGTCAAAACATGACAATAAATTAAAATGAATGGAGTTTTTAATATTAATATTATCTTTCATTTTCAATTTGATGAGAAAAATTGATATATATTAAATAATATACAATCACTGATCCACCACAGGTGAAACTTCCTAGCATGTGAATAGCTAAACGACTTTTCTCTGACAAATAATTTTATTCGAACGAAAATTCAAATTTTAAAGCAAGTAAATAGTCGAAGCGTCTAATAATATTCAAATATTTTGTATTATTTTCTGATATAGATAGAACCAATACAAATCGAGCTAGGATCAAAGTTGAACCTACAAAATTCTTCCTTTTTTTTTAAAAAAATAATTAGAGAATTTTATTAATAATCTCAGTCCATCAAAGGACAAACACCACCTTACACCTCCTTGGGCAAAAACCCAATCCCAAATACTAAAAAACAAACTACTAATAAGCTAGAATCCTAATCAATCTAGACAAAGGCCCAACCCATTCCTATCCGGGTGTTAGAATCCTAAATCAAATCGCTTTATCTTCGTCTGCTTGTCTCCTCTTTTTCCTGAAGAAATGCTTCAACCTTGGAGTAACCATTGCCTCAGCTTCTTCCTTATTTGGGTCATTGTGGTCATGGTATGGAGTGTATGGGAGCTCCAATCAGCCTCATACATCGAGTGTAACAAGCTTCATCCAGGTTTAAAAGTTCAACAATAACTCCTGATCTCTGAGTCCTTTTTTGCTGGCTGGAATAGAATAGTCTAAGTAGCATTTCACTATTTTTGCTGCCCTCGAGGCTTGTGTAAATATGATGCTTGTGCATTTTTTATTTTATTTTTATGTTGTAGCCTTCCCCACCCCTTTATCTCCTTACCGGTACTATCCTCAAATAGGGGCATTTTAATTTGTCACTGTTGATAATCTCCTTTCTTGTTACTTCCATGCTATTGAAATCTGAAAATCTGCAATTTCCTTTATCGATAGCTCTATTGGCTAAGTAGTCTGCTAACTTATTTCCTTCTCTGAGAGTGTGTTGGAAAATATGTTGTTTATCTTTCATGCATGCTTTAATTTCCTCCACCATATCTGCTATTATCCATGGGACTAACCACTGTTCTTTAAGTACCTTGCACATAAGCATTGAGTCAGTCTGAATGATGATTTGATTATACTGTGACTGTTTGCAATGTTTACATGCTTCTAGGATAGCTTTCGCTTCCGCCACTGTGTTACTAGTATTCTCCATACTTCCTCCCTCTGCATACTTGATGTCTCCTCTATCATTTCTTAGGCAAAATGCATAGGAACTTAGGCCTGGGTTTCCACGTGAAGCTCCATCGGTGTTGTACTTTAGCCAACCTTCTGGTGGGTATTCCCACAATACCTTTATTACCTTCATCCTAGGCCTGTAGTTTTCCTACTCGCTTAGCATACCTGGCCAATTACTAGGTCCTTTCCTCCTTGGATGTCTCAACTGTAACAACATGTACATGTTCCTAGTGACATTATATATGATTCGTGACACTGATGTTTTCTTCCCCTCGTGTTTCATCCTATTTCTCCTTCTCCAGAGCTCCCAGATGACAAAGCTAGGTAGAGCCCTATAAAGAGGCCTCAATGCTTTTTTGTATTTGCTCCCCACTATACCATTATAACTTCTCTTAATTGGAGTCCTAATATACTTAGACCTGCAAAAGAGCAAAAATAGGACCAGGTCCTGTTAGCAGTAAAGGATCGAAGAAACACATGAGTTAGTGTTTCTTGATCAGGTCTTTCACAGCACCAACATTTAGAAGGTCCTTCCAATCCCCATCTTCTCAGTCTATCATCAACAGGAATTTTGGATTTCCAAAATCTCCACATCATGAAGGCCACCTTAAAAGGAACCCCTTTTGTCCAAATCCACTTATAGATTTTGTTGGGTTCCTCTTTGTGCCTTATATACTGCCCATGCTGCCTTAACAGTAAAAGATCCCCCTGAATCCAACATCCAGCAGGGTGTGTCTTTTTCCTCTTTACCCGTAGGAGGGTGGATATGTTGTATAATGTATTCTGCTAACTCTAGAGAGAGAATATCCTGCAACACCTCGACATTCCATTCTCCCTGATTAGTCAGCTCTTCAACCTTTGTATAACTATCATCCCATTCAAAATCTTCTCCCGTGATGGTATACAGATCTCCCAATCCTGTCCAATTATCATGCCATACAGAGGCTGATCGTTTCTTCATTCGCCATAAGATTTGATGCTCAATGAGGTCCTTTTCTTGAAACATTTTTTCCATACTTGTGATCCACCTCCCCCAACTTTCCACATAATTACATTAGCATGAGTGTTCTTGCAATACTTATTTCTCATGTATTCACTCCATATAGAAGGTTTGGTCCGAAAGTTCCACCATAGGTTACAAAATAGGCTATTGATAGGTCATGCATTAATCGAAATCCTAATCCCCCTTCCTTCTCCGGTAGGCATAGGTTACTCCACTTTGTCCAGTGTCTTCCTCTTCCTCCAATGCAGTTGCTCCAAAAAAATTGCGCCATCATTTTCTGGACTTGATTTAGCACATTGTGTGGAGGATTCATAACCGATAAGCAATGAATCGGTGTACTCTGAAGCACATGCTTGATTAGAATGGCTCTCCCTCCATAAGATAGCAATTTTCCTTACCAAGAATGCATCTTGGCTCCAATCCTTTGCATCATTGGCTCATAATAAGCCTTCTTCTTTCTATAGCTCAAGAACTTAGCCCAAAAACGAGCTATAGCTCGATCATAAGGGTCTTTAGGCAAGATGGAAGGTCCTTCAAATGTTTCATCAATGTATTCAACAATCACCATAGACTCACAAATTGGCTTGCCATTGTGAATTAGCACTGGGATTTTCTTGTGAATTGGATTATATTCAAGAAGAAGAAGACTTTTGTTATGTAAATCTTCTTCAACAAATTCATATTCAACACCTTTAATCTTGAGAGCCCATTCAACTCTACGACTAAAAGGGATCAATGAAACACCTAGCAACTTCACTCCTACCATCTCACAACTTAATTAAGTTTCTTTGGCTTTTACTAATATTTCCTCTATGTATGAGTTGGATTTTTTGTTCTTGATTTCTTGTCTTCTTTTATAGATGGGGAAATTGTTTAAAATATAATATATGTTTATTTTATAATTAAATTAAATACAACCAAGAAAGTAGTACAATGTTACTTGATCAACAATTTAGTTGTCTAATATTTTTATGTTTTCCATGCTGACCGACGAATTAGTCTCAATTACATATAATTCAATAAATATGTGTTGTTGAAGGTTATATTCATTATATAATAATATAGAAGGCCATGATAGAATGATATGTATATCTTTAATTAGAAGTTTTCGATTTAAGTATGCTGAATACGAAGTTATCCATGTTGAGGGATCAAATTATCCCCCAATGTGAGACTTTTTATGCTTAGAAATGTATCAACCGTGCATGTTATGCTTCATAAAAAACCGCCATAGTTTTGACTATATCTTAATAGGTGGTGAGAACAATAAGATGACTTATGTGCTTATGTAACCCACTCTTTTTTTTTTTACTAAATCATTAAATTCATTTTTATAAAATTTACTGTCAATACAACAAACAAATTAAAGGAAGATATATCATATTCAAGTTACACGATATATCTTCATCAACTCCCAAAAAGAAAAAAACGCGATAGATATAAATAATAAGATATTGTCTTTAAATCACCCTTGACAAAAACCCTCTTAACTTCAATTTGCTCTGTACATTCTAGAACGATATTTTCTTAATATTCAAATTCTTGAGCTTGATTAATGTGTTTCTGCTACCTAAAATATAAAAGTACTTTCACACAATTCAATGGGAAAATTCATAGATTCTTTATTGTAACTAGCACTAACCAAGCAACAAAATAGTAACACATTTACATGAGATAATGTTGAATTTTTTTTATGCGAATTCTGATTTAATTAAATTTGAATGTAAATATCGAATATCAAATAGAAAAAAAAAAAAAAAAACTACACAAGACGAAGTTAGGCTAAACTAGCTTTCTCTATTGAGCATGAATAATATAAGTGGGAGAGAATTCATCTCTGTTGAAAAATTTATCTTTGAAGCTATTTATTTTATTTGTATTTAGACTAAAAAAATTGTGATTTCATTGCTTGTTATTTTATCAATTATATAATTTATTTTAGTGAATTTTACGAATGTGATATTTCTAAATATATGAGACATAATTTATATGAATATAGTAAGTTTGAAACTTGGGGAATTCCATTAACCTAAAATTAAAAATCATCCTACGATATTTGAGAGATTTCATTTCGATCTAAACTAGCTAGAAATTAAAAAGATATGATCTATGTGCTTATGTCAACCACCTTTTAGTCAAACTCGTATATTATTTTAGTCCCCACAAATATAAAAGACCAATATAATCAAATTGTGAGTCACAAGTCATTTCTTGCTCTTTCCTTCAATGAATTTTTTTTAATAAAGTACTTAATTAGTTGGGTCGAATACGCATGTTACGACTTGGGGGTGCTCTCGGGTCGTGACAATTATCGTTTTGCTTTATGTTGATGACATGCTTGTTGTTGGTCATAATGATTGCAGGATTAAAGAGTTGAAGCAAGAGTTGAATAAGTCTTTTGCTATGAAAGACTTGGGACCAGCAAGACAGATTCTTGGCATGTAGATTGTCCGTGATAGATATGCCAAGAAGTTGTGGTTGTCACAAGAGAAGTATATTCAGAAAGTACTTCGTAGATTCAACATGGACAAAGCTAAGGTTGTCAATACACCTTTATCTATGCACTTCAAATTGAGTACTAGACATTGTCCTTCCAGTGATGGTGAGAAGGAAGATATGAAGAAAGTTCCTTATGTTTCAGCTATTGGTAGTTTGATGTATGCAATGGTGTGTACAAGACCAGATATTGCTCATGCTGTTAGTATTGTTAGTCGTTTTCTTTCTAATCCGGGAAGAGAGCATTTGTAACATCCGACAATTTGAAGTGGCTTTGAAGAAGCTTGAAATTGGAAGTAGTCATTTTAGGAAAAAATTCAGAATCTGGAAAATTTGGCTAAGTGTGGAAATCAGTGAGTTTTTGGCCAACTTTGAGTAGTCGTAACTCCTAGCTCAGAATGAGTTAGGAGTAGTTCCAGTTATGGTTGTGAAGCTTGTGGAACGATCTTTCCAACTCTACCGAGTTTGCTCGATTCCGAGTTCGTATGAGCGAGTTATGCCCTTTGAAAGTTGGGGCAGTTGGCAGAGAGTCAGTCCGAAAATTTAAGGGCATTTTGGTCTTTTCACAAATCATTTCTTTTGAGGTTATATTGTTGTGTTAGGCTGTTTGTGGATCATTTTTGTTCCATTTTAAAAGAGAGTAAGAGTTAGGGTTCTTGAGTGAAGAAGAGAAGAAGAGAGAAAGAAGAGAAGAAGAAGAGGAGATCAAGGAGATTCGTCAAGATCATCGTGGATTTTCGTCGGGGGTGATCCCTATCAAGGTATGTGAGTCTTTAGTGTGGGTTGATCCTTTCCCCCCCACACACCAAGCTCATTTTTATGATTTGAGGAAAGATTGGAATTATTGTTGAAGTTGTTGAAGTTGTTAGTTGTTGTTGATGTTGTTAGTTGTGTTGTGGAAGTTATTGTTGGTTGTGGGACATGATTTGGTTGTGTTCTTGAGCTGAAATCTATTGTATATTGAGGGATTTTATGATCCTTAGTGTTGGTTGGTTCATACCCCACACACCAACTCGTTTTTAATTCCAAGAAAAAATTTATTTTGGTTGTTGAAGTTGTTGGTTGTGTTGTGGAAGTTCTTGCTGATTTGGACAGGATTTAGTTGTGTTTTTGAGTGGAATCCACTGTAGGTTGAGGGGTTTATGACCCCAAGTGTTTGGGAAAAGAACCTTTGAAGTTAAGAGGGTTAGAGTTGGCATCATGAAGGAGAAAAGGAAGGCTGCTTTCAGGGAAACAAGTCTGCGTTACAGCTGGGTTCCCTCTGTGAACAGAATCTGATCTGTTTTCAGAATTAAATTTCAAAATTTTTCTTAAGTCTAGCTGTCCTAAATTATTCCTAATCATCATGGGGTCTTTCCAAACACAAATCATTACCCTTGAATTCATAATCCAAGTCAAGTGAAGTTAGTTTCCAATTCAAGTGAAGTTAGTTTCCAATTCAAGTGAAGTTAGTTTCCAAGTCAAGTCGAGTTAGAAGTCAAGTGAAATTAGAAGTCAAGCTTAGAAGTTAAGAAGTTAGTTCAAGCAAGTCCTCTAAGCTTTTCAAGAGTCTTTATTGAACGTTTTAACTTCATTCTAAGGCTCAAGTTGCAAGTCAAGTAAAGAGTAAAGAGTCAAGAGTTTAAAGTTGAGTTCATTTCTCAAAGTTATTAGGGAACTATGTATTCCCAAAGAAGTTTTAAAGAAATGTCTTTACATCTAAACAAGGTTGGAAACTGAGATTTCCAAAGAGCCTTCGGGCTAGTTTTTGAGTAATTATCTCATATCAGCAGGAATAAATATGTTTTGAAAAACATAAGAGCCAGTACATTTTTGGGAGTAGTATCGAGCACCAAATTGGGGGAGCGTTCAAAGAACCCACAGCCCCCATAGAACCATGTTAGCCATCATGGGTAGAAAATGATCATACTTTTTAGATGAATCCTTTTCAGATTAGGCTAGTGGATCCATTAGGCAGTTCAGGTCTTATACCTTTGGCCGGGTATAAGATGCTCTGGCAGCGTGAGGTCGATCACTGTATCATCACTATAGCTCTTATGTGATGGTTGTCGGTTAGAGAAACTCCCACAGCAGTTATTGTATTTTCATACACTGAGATTATTGTATTTTTATATACATCAGTTCATTGTATTTCTATATACATTTCAGGCTTATTGTATCTTTGTATACACACAGAGTTTATAGTATGTTTTAAACAGTCTTTCTTTATATCGCACTTGTTTTAAATTGCCTTATATTGAAAGAAGTCAGTCAGGTTGAGTTGAGTTGAGCCAGGTAAGCTATTCAGTTTCTTCCAGATTTCCTTCTAGCCTTTGTTGCTTAGTTTTCCAGCTCGCATACTCGTACATTCCATGTACTGATGCCAATTGGCCTGCATCGTTTGATGATGCAGATTCAGGTACCCCGAATCAGCATCCTGCACATCGTTGATCCAGCTGAGCACTCCAGAGTCAGTGGTGAGCCTCCTTGCATTCCAGAGGACTCAATTATTTTGTGTTCTTAGTTTTTGTTTTATTAGGATGTTGCGGGGTCTGTCCCAACATCTATCTCAGTATTTTAGAGGCTTCATAGACAGACAGTCAGTCAGTTAGTTTTGAGTCTCTCATCTATGTATATATGTAATTATTCTATTTTAAGATTCGAGTTGCCTTTGTGGCCAGACTTTATAAGTTAAGTTGTTTTCTAACCTTGCATTGCATTGAGTTATTCTGTTGGGTTAGGTTTCCGCTGAGTTAAGAAAGCCAGGCCAAGGGTTCGCTTGGGGCCAGAAATGGTCTCCGGGTGCCGGTCCCGCCCAGGGTGTAGGCTCGGGGCGTGACAACATTGGAATGCTGTTAAGTGGATTATGAGATATCTTTGTGGCACTTTTAGTTTGAGTTTGTGTTTTGGTACAGGGAATCCCATTCTTTGTGGCTACACTGATTCAGACATGGCTGGTGATGTTGATACTCGTAAGTCTACTTTAGGCTACTTGATTACTTTTGCAGGGGGAGCTGTGTCTTGGCAATCTAGTTTGCAAAAATGTGTTGCTT